ATAATTGTTTTTTTTACCCTTCTATCTGGCAACAAAACTGACACCTTTTTACAAGGAGCTACATAGCTCAGTGGGCCTGATCTGGTAACATAAAAAAATAGTAAATGTTTTAGTTTAGTTGACAAGGGTGTCCAGGGTGTCAGTTGGGGGCCGTCCATAAATGACGTCACGCGATTTTGGACGATTTTTGACCCCCCCCCCCCCCCTCGTCACACGGCGTCACAAAAAGTCAGACCCCCCCTCAAATGTGACGTCACAAAGCTCTGCCCCCCCCCCCCAAAACCATATTTCCATTTTGAAAATAAAACATGCTTCAAATCGCTTTGAACTATTGTCATTGTAGTGCGTATTTAATCTGGCGCTGCACTCTGATGTTGTAGGAGTGTTGTTATAACAACTAGTGTTGTTCTAAAAATTCTATATTTATTTAAAGTTGCGCATTTTGATGTGACGTCACATCTCTCCCCCCCCCCTCGTCACACATCGTCACAAATGTCTGACCCCGCCCCCCCTAGGTGCGTGACGTCATTTATGGACGGCCCCTTGCCACGTACATCGCAAACGCGTAATGCCATGTATATATGTTAAATCAATAACTTACGCAGGAGGCATATATCCAATATCACACCCAGGCAAACACAAACATATATATATACGTACAAGATTACACACGCACGTTGCCGGTTCATACAGCATGTGCTTCCACTGTAACAGTTGCAACTGTTATACAAGTGTGCGTTTAATTGGAGATTTACATAAACTGGGTTGTGCCACGGAGATTGTTGCATGTCGAAGCAGCGATGTGTCTGAGCGAGAGTGAGCCTGTTTGGGGTTATGCTCTAGGGAGAGATACATCGTTACGATGTTGAGACTTGAAGAGCGTAATTATTGTTGAAGTAAAGATAGTTCAATCTTGATTTGAAGCTTTCGTGACTGCAGGAATCCATACTCTTTGGTTCTTTCGGTAAAGTCACGTGGGTAGAAGAAGAAAAATAATAGATCACGACGTTTCGATCTCTCTTCAGGTGACTTTACCGAAAAAACTAAGAGTATGTAAAGATAGTTGTTGAATTAATGTCCTTTACCACAGCATTTACAAACTTGACTGTCCTTTACTTTATCGTATAAGAGGCCAAAGAGATTCATTATCGATTTTACAAGGCTGCAAGTAATTGCTGGGAATTTTTTGGTAAGACCAATGCGCCACTGCCGAACAAACACTTGCTCTAATTAATGAGGCAATTCATGGCACACAGGGCTTAAATAATTCATTCCATTGTGAAAATGTTAGCACTTAATGTGGGATTTATCCGATGTACTTATTTATCCCAAAGTAGTCAAATACCCATGGAACAAATAAGTTAGCTTCAAAGGACTCTATTGAATGGCGTCTTATAAAACGTGATTGATGCAGGGTTAGAGTAATGTGGATTAGTAACTCACAGCCTGACGTTTGTAATCATAGATTTTGTTCAAGACATGAAAATACATATTTCAAGCCAAGACATAAATGCTATATTTTAAATAAAATACGCTTTCAATGCAATACATCAAAAGGCAAGAATTTCACCATCGTTTCTTACATCTACTTAGAAATAGGGTAACCTGTTTATGCACGTGTATAGCATTAGAGTATTTTTATATACGGCATAAAACACTGTAATTGAACATTTCCCTCAACTTACACTGCTCTGAATGTCAAAATAAAAATTTCCACCTAAGGAGTGTTTTATGCAACTGGTTCTTGGTGTTTAACTTGCATTCACATTTTTTTCTCCTCAATAGTTGTATATACTGTATTAAGAATTTGTCATAATGGTGAGACGTCGAAGAAAAAAACATTATCATTACTCTTTGGTTCTTTCGGTAATGTCACGTAGGTGTAAAATAAAATAAATCACGACGTTTCGGGCGCAACACAAGCGTCCGTCATCAGGTGGGAAAGCATGGTCTGCTGCTGAGGCAGACTGTTTTAAAAGGTTTGAAATGAGTGTAGCCCAAGGGTCATAAAGAAGTGGCCGGGGCTAGTGATTGTTTAATTCAACATCAAATTGCCTCACGTAGGCCGTGTCTGGAATTGATTCTAGACAAAACCATGACGCAAACCGCATTGTCTTCACTGACTGAAGCCATGCTTTGATATAGCATACAAATGTTTAGTCTGGGAGTATGTATGTTGAACTTCTTTCGCACCGCACGTAGCCAACCGTACTAATCGTAGGTGCAGGGCAAGGTCAACTAAAACACACAAGCCGTGCTGAAGAAAAGAGTATTCCATCTAGATGATGATTTAAAAGTGCCATAGCTCCCAGTAGTAGCTTCTCAATATCGGAAGGAAGAACGGCCGCAGAAGCGCACCTGAAAAGTGCGCGATGCAGTGACCGCCTTTAGTCGACGGATAGCCAGGGCCGGTGTTAGCAGTTGCTGGGGTGGGCCCTGTACCACCAAATGTCCTTTTAGCCCCTCAGCCCAGGGGTTCACTGCTTAACGGTGACCGTCACTGTTACGGTGGCTGCCCCCATGAAACTGGTCTACAAGCATCCCCGCCTCCCTTCCCCTAATTAGCTGGAGCCGGGCCCGTTCAATGTGCGCTGTGTTTATGGCTGTGGATACCTCATGCTATTTTTAGTTTCCATTCTAATTCTTGAAACCTCAAACCTTCCCGAATAATCTTTGAGAGGGCAACCTTCTGGCAAAAGCTTGCGCGTCACAGTGACCGGCCGAGCGGATGCTGCGTGAAACATCATCCATGCCAGACGGCTCAAATCGCCGAATCCCACGGCGTAGATTAATATCGATAGTTGGAAATTAATACAGGACATGTAACAATTGGTATTTCTTTCCCTCAGAATTGTCCGACATGAAGCTAAAATGTGAAATATTGAACGATTTTTCTTTATATTTCTAACCTTGCTGTTGTAGATGGTGTGGACAACATGGGTAGTCATGAAAACACAGTTTTGTATCCGTGTTTAATGTTCTTGTTCATGCCATAGTAAAGATGTCTTCAATAATTAAAGTACTTTTCAAACTGACGAATATCTCACAAGCATTGTTAGCTCCCTTAAAGTTATGTTGATATTTTTTATACCCTGTAATTCCAAAACAATGGAGCAAAAGAGAACAATGGAAAAAAACAGGATACACTTCTTTGGGTATCGTGTAATTCTATGATGCTTAAATTAAACTTAGAAATAAATAAATTGCATTTTCCATTCAACATGAACCGTTAAACAATATACCGTACTTCAAGTCATGGGCAGTGTGGTGTTGTACAAGCTATCTAGAATTCACATAGGTGCTGTTATAATGATAAAAAGTGTGAATGAAGGTAACATTCTACACAAGTAGAATAATTTATCTGAACTGGTTCGGGTGGTGCACGGTGGGGCAGCGGTAACACTTTGGACGACACGGCAAGAAGGTCCTGGGTTCCATTCCTCACTCAAGCAGCTTTATCTGTAAAGTTTGCATATTCCCCCAACTGATCTGCATGAGTTTTCGCCAGATTCTATAGTTTCCTTCCATAGCAAAAATAAACCCCCAACGTAAATGATATTGCCCAAAAATTCCAATGCTGAAAAAGTACCTGAAAATTACCCAATTGAGATTACAAGTAATATTGCCTCAAGTGAAAACGTTGCAGTCTCAATAACTCTCGTGGCTAAACAAATGTAGTCGTAAAAAATATACATCATATCAATAAGTTATTTAGTATTTTCTTACTTATTCCAAAGCGTTCAGAAAATGTGTCCACCGCATCCCCCATCCTCCCAGATTGCCAAGTCGTTCCCTCGCTGGATCAAACTGCCTATAACCCCAGGCTCCCAGATTATGATGTCCTTTCCTTACTTGATCAAACTGGCCATCATTTATTTTTGCACATAAACACATGAGCTATGTTGCATCACCGCGAAAACACACGCAGCAACATTGCATTTGCTTCTTCCGTTGACCATTCATCCAGAGAAACGGCCTTGCCAATGCTCTCCCAATGTTTTTGTTTTACCAAAGGTCATTCGCTTCAAATAATTGACGGTGCTAAGACAAAGCCCATCATTACAAAGCCATTGCACCTTTCTATGAGCATCTCAACTTTCCACTGTTCAATCTCAAAACATATTTTCACGTATATATATTACGCAATTTGTTGATACACTTTTGGACGAAGGCCTCCCTCACATTTTCTTTCATGGATGTTGTTTAATTATACTTCACCGTGCCGGTCAGCGTGAGTTGGTGAAAAGGAAGGGTCCACAAGCAGTTCAGATGCATCACCTGCTGCTCGTGTTAGCTGTGGCCGATAATGGAACTCAGATTGCTGGGTTCGTAACACAGCGAGCTGACCACTGCTTCACCGCACAATTTTCCACTGTGCCCCTCGTCACTATACAAACCCAGAGACATCTTCATATTGTGGCCTCTAAAATTATTTCAGTAAATTTCATAGTTTTGGCACCCTCTCCAACACAGAATTGGCAAAAACACACACATATTCAAACATTTACGATCTACACAAGGGAATTTCTGTGGACTGTGAATGAGAACATCATATTTTAATTTAATGTCTTCTTTGAGGATATTGCCATCACACTGATGCATCTGTAGGTGTTATGAACACATGATCTGGTTAGAGTTAAAAGGATCTTACAGATCTTTCATACATACTAAAGTAGTTTATGAAATGAACATATTAAATCATTTCTCATTGCACCTGAAATGGTGGGCTTTTATGGGAAAGCTAAAATATTTGAACTCGAGTGTTCTGATGGGACGCTATACTATTTTTTATTGGTCCATTAATCTCTCCTCCATTAAGATTACATGACTTAACATTTTACAAATGTTAAAATGGTTTTAGATAAATATTTTATTTCAAAACTAGAGTGAAACAACTTTCCAGTGAACAAACGTGCACATGGGCTTGGCGAGTTATTTTCCAGGTTCATCCCGGAGATAAGGGGAGACACCAGGCTCATTAAACAACGGACACAGCTGTATAGAAGGTATTGATGTCTTTATGAAAGTACATTACGTATATTTGTACATGGGTTCAGTAATGGTGCAGGATTAAAATTATGTAATATGCAGATACATACATGGATGGTACATATACAGTAACGTGAGCGCGCAGCGGTAAAGCAGCTAGCCCTTCCCGGGCCTTCAAGTCTACGCAACCTGTTGCATGTTGAGTGAACGTTCGAATGGCTCATCGAAGTTAATTAACAAGGGCACTGTTTTCTTATCATCACAATAAAAAATGCTTAGTTGAATTAAATCAGGCACTTCAGATTACACGTGATTGCATACAACCCTTGGCTTACATTTTTGTTTAACAAAAGCAGAAGGGTGTTTAGTTAAAATAATAATTAGAAAGTAGATATGAGGATATTTCATTGATAATAAAAAAAGTGATTCAGGGCACAGTTGGTTAATTTGATATTTGGAAATGCACAATGGGTGGCAGCTCACTGCCCTCTGTTGGCATAAAGATTTGTGGCCATCCGGTGCGGCACGATACATCAATGGATGCCAGGGAGAGACGGTGGATACACAGCACAGGGCGTTGTCGACCACTGACACTCATCCAAATGCACATGTTCCTCGTGTTTCCAAGTAGAGTACAACCAAAGACAATCACCGTGGAGGAATCTCCCCTTCCTATCCCAAACCGGGTACAAGCATTAAGCATTGGATAAGTATAACATAATTTTTGCATGGCTTGTGAATATAGGCTTTGGGCCCATAGGGTGTTTGGAGAGATCTTGCGGTGGTGTCCTAACATGCAGTATGCTTGCCCAATGTCCACTTTCAAAAGGTATGCGCTACAATCGCTAAATCCTACCACATGAAAATATAACAACAAGAAGCTATATTGAGACTCTCGCTGTGTTTCGGAGCCGTGCTCTTAGTGATACACCATGCGGAGAGGCACACCGCAACCAAGACCTAACTTGTACTGGCTTTATACCTTAATACTACTGGGTTGTCTCAAACTCTGGCTTTAAATCTTGAAAGTCTGGCATTCGATATGAGTAAACCGTGCTATCTCTCTGCTTCAACACTAATAAACCATCACATCTTATCCCCCTTCTCTTTGTTCGAAAACTTTCACATCCAAAGTAAAATCTTTCCCAGTTCACTCCAAAAGACACACATGGGTGACCTGACAACTGGGGAAACCCAGTGAACCCCACCTTAGTCCAAAATCACAGTGCACACACGCACACACACACACACACGTGCTATTCCAACATCACATACGCACACCTTATCCCAACATCAATCAAACAGCCCTTCAGCTCATCACTACACGCACATTATCCTGTCACACACATACCTTAGCTCCCACACGACGCACATGCCTGCCACAGTCCGATATTACACAAAACGTACTCGGCGCACCTATCGCCAATTACATATGCTTTCCATGTTTCCGGCAACCCGCCATATCTACAGCGTTAATTCGTCCTTCCCCAGACACGATGTGTGGCACGTAAGGCATTTTTGGCATGATTTCCCGTAGAGAGAGAGAGAGCACGCAGGGTGTTCCTGGTAGGTTAGTGTTTTCACGAGAGCGTTAAAAAAATATTGAGACTGTACCAGAACAAAGCACTGACAGCGTTGAGTGCGGTTATACGGCTATATGGCAGTTTTGGAAATCTCGGCTTCTCAGCGCGCATTAGTAATAACAATTACAATAAAACATCGATAATACGGTCAAATGTGTGGCGTAACCACGAGGTATGCGGGCACAAAATGGAGTTTCTCAGGTTACTCGACTTTGTGCGTGACCCACTTTTGAATGTGCTTGGTGTGCACACCCTCTGTCGGTGTGCGCTGTGTACATGTATCCGCAGGTCAGCACATATACCTGAGTGCACATGGCCGAACGTGTTTGCATGAGCGCAAGGGTGCGCGTGCGTGTGTGCGTGTGTGCGTGCGTGCGCGCAACATAGCGTGACGCACCTTTGCCCGAAACGAGCGCCTAGGTGCGTGTATGCGTACTAAGTGTACGTGCCCGTATGCGAGGCCCTAGTTTACAGCAGATGTGTAATATCCTGCATACGCTATGCCTTCATGTGTTGGATACAAGTAAGCAGACTAGTAAACTCGAATACACTTAATAAGCAAGGTTATTATGCAGGAGTAGTTAGCACGTGCACATTCCATGCTGGAGGGCGCGGGTGGGAATAGGTAGGAGGTGGGGGTGGAGGGAGGGAGGGAGGGATGGAGGACGTGGGAGGAGGAGGAGGCGCCCTTAGCGCTTCTGGGAGGTGAGCAACACTTTCGAGACGAAGTTGACGATCGCGGCGGCCGGCTGCTCGGGGTCGAGCTCAGCGAAGAGGTGGCACAGATTGTCGGTGGACGAGCCGGGCTTGCGGGCCACAAAGCCAAACACCCTGGGAGTGGACGCACACACGACACACGAACACACAGATATGAAGACAAAGATCCACCATTAAGCCTCATAGATAGTCACGTGCAAGTGATGTTTATGAAGGCACAGGAGCGGTTGACGTTGTACATGCTCAGGAATTGAACTACGTATGTTGAGACTGTAGGTGACATGTACCAATTTCTGATCCACAACTCCGCACATATGCGAACATAAATACATCCACACATACGCAGGCATGTTTAAACATGCGTACACTTTGGGGCAGCGCATACCGATATAAATGTGGTAAAACAGCACAGGTAAATCGGAGGTCACAAGTGTGCATTGCGCTTGCAATATTACTGCTCCCCGTTTTATTACAAACCGCTCCATCTCCACTCACCGAGATCCCGGAGCGCCCTCCGCCTGCACCCACCTATCAACAAAACCGGACAGACAAATAGGATTATTGGACGAGCGGTGTTGGTGTTGCACCCTTAAATGTGCCACTGGTGAGGCCTGTGCATGCATTATTTTTGTTTTGTGCTTCGGGGGAGTGGCGAAGAGTGGTGGAGAGAACTGAACGAATACTCTTAGGTTTTTTCGGTAAAGTCACGTAGGTAAAAAATAAAATTACAATTAATAAAAGTAAAATAAAAAATCACGACGTTTCGGAGGCAACACAAGCTTCCGTCTTGCCTCCGAAACGTCGTGATTTTTATTTTACTTTTATTAATTTTAATTAATTTAATTTTTTACCTACGTGACCTTACCGAAAAAACCTAAGAGTATGAATCCTTGCAGTCACGAAAGCTTCAAATCTAGAACTGGACGAATATCTACGCCTGACTTCCCTTGGAGTGCAGTAGCCTCTAAAGTTTGCACGCGAGCCTCTACACGTTCTGCTACACAACTGCGTCAGTTTCCAAATAACGACAGGGTTAAGCGGTGACTTCGAGTTACTCAGGAATACATCGAAAATTGTTTTTAGGTCTATTTCGTTTAACCAGGCGAGAGTCCAAGAGACCAGGATAGTCTCAGTTGCAAGTGACCCGAGGTTTTAGTCTGCCAATAGTAGGGGGCGATGATTGATGTGCAAAGAGTATAATGTCAGTGCTAATTTTTTACAATCACTTAGTTTTATTTCGTAGAACAAATGACTCGCATAGGCATTTTTTTCTCACTTTAATAGCCACAACTGGCATCAAAAGCCACGGTTAATGCATTGTGTTTTCAGTAGCTTCATCACTATAACTGTAATTGGATGTCAAATGTAGCTTATTAGGGCTTAATTGGTTATGAAAGCATTTATATCTCAGTAAAAATAAAGTATGGTTTGTGATGGATAGAAACATATTTATCCGCGTCAAATATACAGAAATTTGTTCTAAAGACAAACGGAAACTCTCTGAACAGTCTGCTTTCACAGGCTGCAATGGTGATAAGCAATGGCAAAAGAGTATAGTGCAAAACAAATCCAGTAAAATAGTTTATAAACTAATTTCATTGCATGGATCTACCTTTGTTTAACTTTACAAGAAGCACAGTATTCCATTTAAAGTGGGGGTAACACGCCCTTGTGTTCACGGGTTAAGTGGCTCACTTTGTAATCACATTTGGTGACAGATGCAGCCTACGCAGAGCCTGAAAACATTGCATTCTTATAGGCAGACAATTGTGTGCTCCGCTGTAGACCATATATCTTTAAAAAAATTTCCCGCAACTAAATGACGAAAAAACACAACAGGGCTCCTTTTGAATCTCGAGTTTCCCAAGCCGCTTACAAAAAAACATTTGATCCAATCGGGGCCTTACACTAATAAAGGAAATGACTGTCTAGTTTTTCCTTACCCGGATCTCTCTTGAAAAATATCAGATTTTATCTCGACATGCTTTCGGCAGGCTTTAAATAGACATCGGTGTGTTATGCTTTTTATCTCTTTCATTTTTTCCATCGACCTGTGAGTTCCGTTCCATAACATGGCTTTTATTTCCCACGAGCTGCCCGAAGTTTCAGGAGAAGCCGTGGAGTGAGCTGTAAGTCGACTTATAACGAGTGCCTGGACCAATGGGGCCTCTCTTCAGGATCCGTCCGGGAAGGGATGCATTTTAAATTATAAATAATTATGATTTGTGTATTTCAAAGAACGATTTCTGATAATTTTGGTGTATTTCAGATCATTTACGTATCGTGATATATTGACTTATACCAATTCATCTGAAACAAAAAGTTTTCGATTGTTTTGGGCTTAGTAAAAATAATAATCAATCAGGAGCACATCCCGACTGACCGCCCCTGCATAAGGCACGACTGCTGTTGTTCATCTGCTGAAGTGAGCTACGCTTTTGTGTGTGCGATGTTCCGAGTGGTCCTCGGCGCTGCCCGCCCGCCAATCGTCAATAGCAACCGCGTGAGACTCACGTCCTCGTTTCGGGATCCACGTTGCAGAACGTGACTGTCGAGACCGGATAGTGACGCCTGAAGAACAGCCTGTGTGTTGGAGGCAGAATGCGGCGTGAGATGGCGTTTTCACATTGTATGTATATACGTATGTTGAACTTCTTTCACACCGTTATGTAGCCAACCGTGCCAATCAGAAGTGCAGGGCGGAAGGACAACAAACTAAACACAAAAGCAGTTCTAAATAAATGAGTGTTCAATCTAGGTGATTTAAAAGTGCATAGCTCCCAGTGGCTTCCTAATATCGGAAGAAAGAGCGTTCCAGACGGCCACAGAAGCGCATGTGAAAGCGTGCGATGCAGTGACCGTCTTTGTTCGATGGCCAGCCAAAAATCACGTTATCCGTATAGGCAGCTGTGACCCAACACACATCAAACAGATGAACATGTTGGTGTATGTTTTACTTGTCTTTTTTGTTTTTGTAAAATTGAGCCAGTGTCTCGACTGGCAACGATGACGCACATTTTCAAGGTGATTGGTTTGAACATTTTCATCAAGTTATGAATCTGGCTCAAAGTTGCTTTTACTTACATCACCCTCATATCCTCAAGATATATACCCATGACTATCTCGTGATGCTGAACCTGATCTACAACTCGGTCTCTTTTGTAGTATTTGTTATGTCCTCACCGAATAATTTTCTGACATACCACCAAGTTAACATCCCTCCTCTTGTGTACATTATTCGTGAGATGTATTCCTCTATACATCCTCTATAAATCGACAGTGACATATCATGGTACTTTTTCAATCTCAAATTGCAGTTATGTGCCAGTGTAACACATACACCAGCATGGCATCCGACACACCACGCGCATTTTCCATGTGCAATAGCATAACAATGTCGTAATTTCAATTATGCAGGAAAGCCTCCCTGAGTCTCAGAGTCCTCATTCACGAGTTTACCCACGTGGGACGTTGGTGACACACCAAGGCACACCGAATGTCTCTCTGTGCCTCTCGGCGTGTGACCAAGAGATACAGAGTGTGTGTGATCAAGAGACACAGAGAGTGAGTTTATCAAGGGACACAGAGAGTGAGTGACTAAGAGACACACAGAGTGAGTGACCAAGAGACACACAGAGTGTGTGACCAAGAGACACACAGAGTGAGTGACTAAGAGACACACAGAGTGAGTGACTGAGAGACACAGAGAGTGAGTGAGCAAGAAACACACAGAGTGAGTGATCAAGAGACACACAGAGTGAGTGATCAAGAGACACACAGAGTGTGTGAGCAAGAGACACACAGAGTGAGTGACCAAGAGACACACAGAGTGAGTGACCAAGAGACACAGTGTGTGTACCACATCCACCGCAGGCGATCGTCGTCTTAGAGTCCGTACAACATATTCCGCACGTCCCACGATCCCCGCGTGGCCCTCCATGTGCCCCCCCCCCCCACCCCGCCGAATGCTCCGCACCTGCGCTGGTTGTCGGTGAGCGTGATGCCTTGTGCCGACACCTTGAAGTGCACGGTCGTTGCCACGGGCCGTGGCTTCATGTCCAGGATCTCAGCGGTCGCCTTGCCAATCGCCTGAGGCCCCGTGAGCGACTCCATCTCCACGGAGCCCAGGAAGAGCACGTTACAGGCTGCAGGAAGGAGGGCGGTCACCACACAGGTGTATCACCGGAGTGCCACGACTGAGATGAACGATGTGGCAGCTAGCACGAATGAGCTTTGTGCTTTAAAGGGCCATTGCCCGAATCGTCACCTGTTAAACTAAAACTATTAATCTTCTTGGTTCTTTCGGTAAAGTCACGTAGAAGGGAAATAATAAAATAATAAAAATAAAACAAAATAAAATAATTCTCATGACGTTTCGGCCACAACGCAAGCAGTCGTCCTCAGGTGAAGACGCTGTCTTTCCGACAGACCTGTTCTTCACCTGAGGACGGCTGCTTGCGTTGTGGCCGAAACGTCGTGAGAATTATTTTATTATGTTTTATTTTTATTATTTTATTATTTCCCTTCTACGTGACTTTACCGAAAGAACCAAGAAGATGAATCCCTGCAGTCACGAAAGCTTTACATTGAAATTTAAAACTATTAACTTTAGATTTTTTTACCAGGTAAGGCCCACTGAGCTACATAGATCTTTTTCAGAAGCGACCTGACCACAAATGATAGCTCAATGAAATGGCTTATCGTGTGGAAATTTATAGCAGCCAAATACTCTAAATGCACGTATCCAAATGTGGAGGGAAAAACCAGAGAACTCGGAGAAAAATCCAAGCGACCACGGGGAGAGAGACGCGCAAACACTAAATGTGCAGGTGTCAGGATCGGGATCAAACCCATGAACTCCTGAAAACCAGACCAGGAAGTTAACATCTTGCCACCGCTCATATGCCGTGATGGCCTTCAGAGTTGCTCGATAATAGCACTTGCCCCAACGGTTTGTTAAAGGCTCGATAATAGCACTTGCCCCAACGGTTTGTTAAAGGCTATATCTTTTTCCTTCGTCTTTGGAGGTGTGATGAGGTGGGTGTGCTGTACCTGCGCCCTGCTTGAGGAGTTCTGAGGCAGAATTCACTGAAGAAGTGTCCAGAGGATCTATGCACAGCCGGCACAGACAAATATGCATCCTGTTAAACCATGCTGAGTTCGCCATCACATCAATCTCCCACCACCAACGCTAATGTCGAAATGGTACATTATCCAGCTCCATTTCGTGGAAAAAATATCTGATGTGCCCTGTTAGCCAAGTATGAACATATAAAGAGCTCTCAGTTTGTCTTGTTATTTTCCCCATTCCAACAAGAAATTGCACTATAACGCTTCCTTCAAATGAGCATAATTTAAGATGCGTTTCTGCCAGATTAAAGCAAAGAATGCAAGATGTAAAAACACGATAAAGTTAATAGGGAGAGGAGGTGATGTGGTGCCGGATGGGCTGATGAGGAGGAATATTTGCAGATTGGGCTGTGGGGGCTGAGGGAGGACACGGCAGGGAGGAGGTTTGTAAATGAGAGGCTGTTACCGTGCTCTGGGACGAGCAGCTTGCACGGGAGGGCGAGGGGCGTGATTGAGTGCTGATAGACGAGGGCAGACAGGCTACCTGCATTCACGCACACACACACAGATGACACGCGTGTATACATAAACTCACGCAAATACCGATGCATAACGGGGGAGAGGGGCGGGCGGTCGCTGCTTGTTGCAGAGGGCCACAGTTCGCATGTACCTAAGTTGAACTTCTCTCGCACCGTCCGTAGCCAACCATGCTAATCGGAGGTGCGGTAAACACTGATAATGTATCGATGCTGACGATGTAATAACATGCACTCCTCAAGGTTTGGCAATGCCAACACCAGAAGCAGTGGCCTGTGCAGAATATTGGGAAAAGACGATTTTATAAGTTGGACGACAAAGAAGAGGTAATAACACATTACACAACCTCTTTAATGGAGAAAGTTGCAGTGCATCACACATGTGAAATATCACATGGGATGTATTAACTGTCAAAATACGTGCCTTCTGCTTTCACGGAGTGAAGTTAAAGATCCCATGACGTCACTTGCAAGAGTTGGCCATTGTGTGCCGGTGTCATGGTCCAAATTTGCCAATTGTTTTTTTTTTTAAGTGCCTGCATATGACTCAATTCGGATTATACACATCAATCATGGCAGGACCCTTACAAAAAAGAGTCATGAGACTCAGTTATGCTTTGCTGGGTAACCAAGATTAATATTAATATTAGGACCTTTCAAATGCCCAGTCACTGTCCCCACCACCATCTATGCATACATTTGCGCGAGTGGTTTCCTGTGCACAACGTGTATTGACTTGCTTCTTACATGAAACAGGAAGGTTCATCACATATAGGCGTACCGTCGTAGGGAATGCATTGAAATTAGTGTTGTAAAACCCCTGACACATGTTCCTTTCCTAGAATCGCAATTGCCTGATTTACAACTGACAGTTCATCCTGATGATTTCTTACCAATCAGCGATCATATATGTTTATCGATTAAACATTTGATGAGCTCTTCAATCATTACTGTCAATCTTTACATTATTACCTTGCAATCAATAACAAATGATTTTGAAGCAGTATTTGGTCATCCTCACGAGGACATGTGATTTTCAGCTTTCGTACTATTTAGGCGCAGTAATCTTGGTGATACATTCCAAAAAACCAAGGCCCTTATCATCATTATCATCACATCAAGACCACCACAATTACACCATCACTGTCACCGCAGCTTATCAGACACACACTCACCAAACACCGGCTCGTTGGTGCAGCCCTTAAGCCGCACACCCTTGGGGGTCGACTCGATGAGAAAGTGGCGGACCAACTCCGACGCAGGGTCACCTGGGGGTGAAGGGGTCAGAGACGGGTTACCGGGGCTGGCACCAGCACGCACGGTGCCATGTGGGCTGGCATGGAAATTCTTCATTTCTCTTTGTGTGTGGGGGTGCGTGTGTGTGCGTGCATGCGCGTGTGTGTGTGTGCATGCGCGTGTGTGTGTGTGTGCATGCGCGTGTGTGCGCGTGCATGCGCGTGTGTGTGTGTGTGCATGCGCGTGTGTGCGTGTGTGTGTGCATGCGTGTGTGTGCGTGTGTGTGCACGCCATGCCTTTCTTGCTGTCCAGCGAGGGACCTGGTGGGGTGGCCACCTTCAAAGCGAGCCCGTAGGCCCCACGGAAGGAACTGCTGTCACGGATGACGAATGCTCCCGGGTCCCGACCCTTCAGCATGGTGATCGCTGTGAGATAAGGAGACAAAAACACAGACGCACGCACGCACGCACATACAGACATTCCCATACGTTTCCAGGAACTGCATGGGAGCAGCCGTGATTGAGCAAAAGGCAAAGATTGTCCACGAATGCGGACATTGAAGTAACTGCTACAATGCTTACATTTAAGTGTAAATCGGTGACATTAAAGGTATATATAGAAATGCAAACAGCACATCTTTTAAATGTACGGTGTCTGTATGTGCAGACACAACAGACGCAACAAATATGGGGCAAGTGCTGTTAGCGAGCACCTATGAAGGCCAACACACGAGGAGGTGAGTGGCCAGAACCACGCCCGGCTGCCTTTGTCTCCCGAGTGACGATGTTTACACACTGCACCAGGTACCCATTTGAGGCTGAGTCGACCTAGGGTGTTGGCCGTGAGCGGGAATCGAAGTCGGGTCACTGGGTTTGTAACGCTGCACGCTAACCACTACACTACCGCTCCCCACACATACACACGAACAAGACACATTCAGGAATAAATACACAGACGCAACTTAGTTTACAGGCTCATAAAAATCCACGTTAGCTCATTGCATAAATCCGGACAATGGAAAATGTCACACACGCGTTTGTAACAACATGCTATAAAAGGCTGCAGTCTCGATTTAAAACGGCCCGCTGGCATACTCTCCACTGATTAAAATCGCCCCTGGTGTGAGGTCATCTTTGTATGTGTGTGTGTTTGTGTCTGTATATATATGCAGTTAGGAGTGAGTTTCAAACATTCCACAATTATGTGTAAAAAGCAGTACTGCCTTTGTGGATATGTTAAAACCATCAGCATTTCCTGACGAAGTGCATTGTGGTCTTATTGTCTTCGGTCACCATTAAAATACATTTCGATTTAAAGCTTTCGTGACTGCAGGGATTCATCTTATTGGTTCTTTCGGTAAAGTCACGTAGAAGGGAAGTAATAAAATAATAAAAATAAAACATAATAAAATAATTTTATTACTTCCCTTCTACGTGACTTTACCGAAAGAACCAAGAACATTAAAATACATTTGAGCAAATGTGACCAACTGACAGCAGCAGTGATACAGTCATAGACATCTGTGGACCGGTTTCGTACTAATTAGGAATCATCAGCATACTATGGCCACCAATGCTCACGACTGCGAAAGTGTGTCTCTGGAAACCATACACGTGGAGTCGGCGCTTCCGTTAAGTGAGCTTGGCTAATGCCAACAATAATAAATTACATGTTTGATTGATCGGAGCAACAATTGCAGGACGGTGGGATAAGAGATCATCTTACCCTGATCTCTGGAGATGTCGGGCTTGTACCAGTACTTGGATGTGTCTTGCACAAAGTTCACACGTGACTCCAAATTCCCATCTGGGCTGACCGGGGAACCTAGTGAGTACACACATACAGAGACAAAGATCCCCCATATAGCCTTTAACAGACTTTTGGGGCAGGCGCTGTCAGCGAGCAACTATTAAGAAGCCCGGCCCGGCACATGAGGGAACGGGCGGCCAGCACCACATCCCGGCTGCCTCTGTCTCCCCAATGCTGATTTTTACACACTGCACCAGATGCTAATTTAGAGCGGAGTCGACCTAGGGGAGGCCCAGGACTGCTTCAGATATTCGTCACTGGTGTTAGCCATGATCGGGAATTGAACTCGGGTCGCTGGGTTCGTAGCACAGCACGCTAATTGCTACACGACCGTTCCCCATTAACACACACGCGCACACACACACACTCAAGACCACACTAACACACATACAAGGTCCCACTATAAGTGTACATAGGCTATTAGGACAAATGTTGTTACCAAACAGCTATTAATAATGGTCACGAAGGCTAAATATATTGAGGCCATTGAGCAACCTTGAGAAAAGCGCAAGTTACATTGCTGGACCACCGGACTTTATTGACTTAAGAACGTATTTGGTCATCAATAACAACCGACCATGCGGCGGGGGCCAGCGCCATAGCCTGATATCTCTTGTTTTTCTCACATGGGGATAGAGGCCTTAAGCCAGATTGAGACAGAAACTACCACTCGTGTGTGAATGGCAGGAAATGTAACTGGTTCAGCGTGTGAACACGCACATACATTGCGCACTTTATATTGGACTACTACAGACGGCCGATGCTGGATGTGGTGAGGATAATTATGCTGAGGATGGCAGAACTTTGGTGATGAAGATGCTAGGTGCACGGCTGATGGTAAGGATGGTGCCAATGTTAATAATAAATATAGCTGGTCGTGCAATATTGAGCTATGGCACTAACACAAAAATATACCTGTTGAGAGTAATGTCATCAAGCTACGTGTCCGCTACTGCAGGGCAAGTGAAGAGTGTGAGCTCATGTGCTGTGTGTGCCGTGTGAGTGTGAGCGCATGTGCTACGTGAGCGTGTACACAATGTTGAATGTGTGCGTGTGTGCCACATGAGCATGTATAGTGTGCAATGTTGAATGTGAGCGTGTGCCGCGTATGTGCTGCGTGAGCGTGTATACAATGTTGAGTGCGAGCGTGTGTGTGCTTTCTGCATGAGTGCGAACATATGTGCCGCGTGAGCGCGTATAGCCGTATGCAATGTTGAGTGTGAGCGTGTGTTTGTGCTGCGTCAGTGCTAACGCGTGTGCGTGTTTGCGCTGTGCGAGTGCGAGCGAGTCTTCCGCGCTCGGCGTGCGATTCCCACCGTGTGTGGGGCTCCAATCGGGAAGCGAGTGCGGGAAGGCCGCGGCGCTGTGCGTGCTCGAACCCCCGGGGCTCGAGAGGCCGCTGGACAGCGGCGACGTCGACAACTTCCCGTTCACGTTGCCGGGCGACAGCCGCATCGCACTCCGACCGCCGCTGCCGCTGCCGCCCCGTCCCTCTGGAGAACCTCCCTCGTCCCAGCCGGGGAAGACGCGCGGTGGGGACGCCTCCCCGGGCCGCCCCTCGTCGTTGGAGCCTCGGGGCAACCTGGTTTGGGTCGCGTGAGCCGAGGCCGCCACGCCCGACATCCCGAACGGCTGCTGCTCGCCCGATGGGCCGTAGGAGGTGGTGGAAAAGGTGCTGTAGTTGAGGCTGTAGGTGCTGGCCGGCGGCGTCGTTGCCGCTTCGTAGGCTAGACTCTGCGACGCGCACGGCGTCGCCGCACCGTAGCTCAGCGCGCTGTTCACCGACGAGCGTCCGCTGCCACCGCTCTCCCGGCCCGAAAGCGGAGCGAGCTGCCGCCGGTAGTCGTCGTGCGGCGTGGACGTGTGGACGCCACGAGCCACCAGCCTAGGGCTTGGCGGCACAGGGCCCAGAGCTCTGACGCCGTCGCCAAACCCGGGAGTCTCACCCGTGCTCCGGTGCGACAGTGCCGGGCTCTCCGACCCTGGGGGTCTCCGCAGGATGCCTGGATTGGCTGAGGCCGCCTGGACTCCGTACATATTCGAGGACCCAGGCCCTTGGCCTCCGTAGCTGAGCGATGAGCCACCGTGGCCTCCATCATCACTTTTCCGGCCATAGTAGGCCACGCCAGAGATGACTGGGTGAGGGTGCAGCCTCATGGCATCCGCGAGCATTGCTTCGTCGTACGAAGCCTGGCCTTCGACAGCCCGGCCGGGCTGCTTCTGAGCTGAGACAGCTCTGTCCTCCATGCCACTGAACGGGACGCTCTGCTGGGCTGCATGCTGAAAGTCCACTGGCGTGGCCGTCCTGATGCCAGCCGGCTGCAAGGACGCCACTCCTTGCTGTGCTCCATGATTGGGCCCGTAGGCGTACAGCTCGGGCTTCCCTTGTTTGCCGGCGGCCGGGTCTTCCGTACCATTGTACCGTACTCCTGCCTGGTTAGCCCTGTACGCACCGAAGCCGGCATCTAAGTACGGGGTGCCGCGTGGATCCGAAAAACCAGGCGTCTCCTCCCAGGGTGACGGCTGACGGGCCAGCGTCACCGCAGCGTCGCGGTGCTGGTCGTGGGGCGGTTGGCCGGCGTACGGTCCGTGCTGCCGCGCCTGCTCGGGCCTGGCCCGCGAGTCCTGCACGCCCGCGTACCCGCTGTAGGCGCCTGCTTGCTGCGCCCCGGAGATGGCGAGGAGACCGACGGGGCCATCCGGATGCGCGGGATACTGAGCATTCGCGCCGTTGTCACGAGGCGTGGCGCCGGCCGCGGGGCCTCGTCTCTGAGACGACCAGAAGGCGGCGGGGTCTGGGCGAGGCTCCCCGCAGGAGGCCGCGGCGTAGGGCTCGGCGTGCGAGGAGTGGTAAGGGGAGGCGCGCTGGCCCGCGCTGGCGGCGTCGGCCTCGGCGTTCCGAGCCACGGTCTCCACGTAGCTCCACGGCTCTGAAAGCGTGCGGCGAGAGTGGGAGGAACGCGCGTTGATTTCACGCTCATGCTGCACATCCGATCATTCAGAAGGCACGCGTGACCATGCCACCGCACAAACAGCCATGCACACTGCATGCACACCAGACAGATGATGCACGCCAACCACAAAGCCTGCCTCCTGTGTACTGCCCTGCCTCCTGTGTGCTGCCTTCTGTGTACTGCCTCCTGTGTGCTGCCCTCTCTCCTGTGTGCTGCCCTGCCTCCTGTGTGCTGCCCTGCCTCCTGCGTACTGCCTCCTGTGTACTGCCCTCTCTCCTGTGTGCTGCCCTGCCTCCTGTGTGCTGCCCTCTCTCCTGTGTGCTGCCATGCCTCCTGTGTACTGCCCTGCCTCGTGTGTACTGCCTCCTGTGTACTTCCCTGCCTCATGTGTACTGCCTCCTGCGTGCTGCCCTGTCTCCTGTGTACTGCCCTGCCTCCTGTGTACTGCCCTGCCCCCTGCGTGCCGACCCTGGCGACTGAGCTGCGAGGCTGCCAACTGGGTTCGTGGCGCCAGGGACACGGCAGTCTGCACTGCGCTGCCATTTAATGAAATAATGCCGCTTTAATATTGCAAAGGAATGTGGTGTTTTCTTGTTTGGGTGAGCCAGGGGCAGTGTGGGGGTTTCTCCACCCCCTCTTTCCGCCGAGGCCTAGGCGAGCCTGCCGGTGATCTTAAGCTTTGCCACCGCACGCTGTTACCGCATTAGGAAAATTCCTCTCGTTTAATATGTTCTCTTCAAATAACGACCCGCAAGGGACCCATTCAGCATCGCCGAAATGAGACGCGGGATGAACGGCAGCAGTACAATTACAGAAGCATAAGATGACGATGATTTTGATGATGTTGTTAATTATTATTATGGGAATGAGAGCAGTAATGTTTTTTTTACAACAGCTGTCAAGATCATAATACCGACGGTGACATTGAGGGTTACATGGGGTGATAGCGTCTAGAAAGGTTACATTGATAGCAGCTTCACAGACGATAATGTTGATTGCATCGACATATAATCTGGCCAGGTGGTTCAGGGGTAGTGAGTGCATCGCAATCGGAAGCTGAAAGTTAAAATCTTATTTGGAAGTTGCCTTAGCCCATCATCCCTTCAGGATTGTTACAATGAGTACCACTTTGTAGGAAAGTCAACATCGGTTGTCCTATGGACAGATGTTCCCCTACCATAGGTATGTGGAATATTCACCACTGGCTCAGGACTGCCCTAATGCTCATTTGAGCAGGAAATCACTGTGACTCATTGATGATGATGATAACGGTGGCAATCGCGAATGGGTATGACCATCACGATGAGGTTTGGAGAATGAGTGACTAAGCGAGCGACTACGATGATGACGCTTGTGCGCATCGACGATGGCTGTGCTCAAGGCAATGGTGAGGTCCACTCACCGGGCAGGGTGGACCTGGGAATGGCGCTGTCAGGCACGTCTGTGGGATGAGCGCCAAAATGAAGCAGGCATGGAGGAGGGTGGTGGAGGGGATAAGGGGGCAAGCAAGCAGACCGGGGATTGGGCCGCACGGAGGGACGGAGGCAGAGGGACATGCAAGTTACAGCCATGGGGTGCATTTGTAACACACCGCACCAACAACAAAAACGCAGTGCAGCACCGTAATAGCCCACGTGCGGTTATCACAACATCACCATGCTTCGCTGCCATTGCTGTTGCTTGCGATGCTTTGTTTGGACGTTACTGCCAGATCAACCATCACTTGGCTAAGGCAGCGGTGAGCAAGGCATATGCCCGGGCAAAGTGTGGTTTTATGGTATGAATAAGTCATTTAGAGTGTACGGATATTTACTTCACGTGTTCTGGATACACGACGTTTTATATTGTTTCAGAAAATAAATAACACACAGGTCGACCGATGGCCACTCCCTTTGAAAGGCAAACCCTCAGGCGAGTGTGCGTGCGTTTTTTTCTTCCATTCAATATGCGAGAACGTTTAACAACGATCCCGCTTCTCTTTGGTGGGGTTTTTGTTTGTTCAACAAATCCCGGCAGGCAGTGAAATGGTCTGCGCCTGTTTTTCTAGTTTGAATAAACAAATGCTTCAGGCATGACCACACGTGCCTTGCGTTCTTGGCCGTTAAGTTGTCCTTTTTTGAAAACAATTTTTTATTTTACCAGGTAAGGCCCACTGAGTTGGATAGCTCTTTTACAGAAGCGTCCTGGCCAAAACACAATATCTCAATGAAGTGGCTTATCATGTAGAAATTGAGAGCATCAAAAATACTCTTAAGCGCATATTGATGATAAATGTGGATGGACAAACCAGAGGACCAGGAGAAATAGCCACGCGACCACGGGTCGAACATGCAAACCAAAAATATACAGGTGCCAGGGTTCGGATCGAACCCACGACCTACTGTAAACCAGGCGAGGCAGTTAACATCTCGCCACAGCTTTGCTATTTTGTTTGTAACAGTGGCGGTGGCACATCCACCACGCTGGGTAAGGACTGCAATTGATGTGGCCTGCGGCTGGGTTCACACGGAACTAGAATCAACCACAGTGGGCGACCTATCAACTGACTCTTCTCCAACTCCCAGCCTCTGCCACACCCTTTCACTGCCCGTGGCAAATTGTTGAAACAGAAAAACGAGTAGTGCTCTCGATGGTGATTTCAACTGCTCTTGCTCTTTCTTCTACAACGCCAAGGTTCTCTTCCAAGGCCTGAAACTCCCAAGTGCTTTGAGACATCTGTCACGACCGTGGGTAATAATAACAATGATGCACCGAGTAAAGTGCGCATTGTGAGTTTATGCCGAGTGCACGTGGTCGATAAACTTAATGCCGTGCAGTGTCCATGATTGGTTGTGTACATTGAAATTCTTTAGCACCATACATAGACAACCATGCTAACTGGTTGTGCATTGAGAGTGGGATGAGCTTTTCCAGGTGTGTTTCATGTGGAGTGGAAGGTGTGGAAGTATTGCGTTTAGCAAGCACTGCAAGTGTGCTTGGTGTGCTTGGCGTGTCTAGGTGTTCTGTGGTTGTGCTGTGTGGCTCTCCGCTGCAGCCTTTGCATTGCGACGCTGGACATCGTGCCGAACAACACGCGGTAAAATCCGATAACAAATCAGAGAGCTGTGTGCAGCTCAGTCAAACTGTCGAGACCACGGTGGCCTTACCCTGCGCCGACGAGACGTGGATCTCCATGGGCTTGTGGGGCTTGAGCTTGAGGGCAGAGAGCGGCGTCTCAGCCAGACCAATCGGGGAACGTGCTGTAACAAAGACAAAGATCCCCCGTATAGCCTTAACAGACTGTTGGGGCAAGTGCTGTTCGCGAACACTTATGAAGGCCAACACGGCGCACGAGGGGGTGGGTGGCCAGCACCACACCCGGCCGCCTTTGCCTCCCCAGTGGCGTTGATTACACACAGCACCAGGTACTCATTTGAGGCTGAGTCGGCCTAGGGGAGGCCCAAGACCGATTCAGATAATCGTCACCGTGTGTTGGCCGTAAGGGGGAATCGAACTCGCGCCGCCGGGTTCGTAGCGCAGCGCACTAACTGCTGCACCACCGCTCCCCTGTAACACACGCGCACACGCGCACACGCGGCTACTTCTGTCACCCTCCGCACCCCAACGAACGTGCCAAGGCCAGGACACAAATTGCACATCGGCATCGTCCACATGCCACGGTTGTTCATGTGTCTTATACAGCTGCCAGAGATACCTGTTAGCATGGACTGAAATATGTGTAGTCAGGCGATACTAACAAAGATGATGTCTCAATTCGGTGGGCTAAATACTGTGTAAGGTGGCTTGTGGGGTAAACAGCTAGGTTTTCAGGGAATACCATCCACTTGAATGTGCAGACAAGTAAGAAGAGACCCATACGCACAGGCGAGAGTCACTTTCCACACGTGTACAGTGTTATCTGAATCAAATGAGGTCTTGCGAATGTCAAATTTGAGTCCAGTGGCTCAGAGCGGAGATCCACACGGAGGAAACTTTGGCCAGAAGCAGGAGCATCTGTCGACAACGAACAAGGACCACAAGCCGCCGGGGGATCGTACCTTCTGGTGAACGGGGAGGTGGACTGCCCGGGTCTTGGTCCATCTCCTCGAATGCCTCCTTGTAACTGTGCATGTGCCTCTGTTCGTGTGTCAAACGCACAAGCACGCGTGCACATACAAGCAGCCGAGTCAGTGCAGCTTACCGGCTTAGCCGTCCACTGCATTGCGTGCGATGTGTGGTTGGTTTATGTGGGTGCACCGCACTGAGCTGGGATGCCACGGTTTTGTGCGGCAATAGTGTACTATGATATCCCTGTGGTGATGGACTCCGATGTCTTTCTATAGCTGGACAAACGGCTTATGGTGGCAGACTTTGATGTTCCACTGGAGATGGCTGGTGATATCCACCAGTGGGTGAACTATACCACCCTAACGATGTGCTGTTGTGACCCTAAAGTGGTGGATAACGGTGATCCTCGAGATTGTGAAACCACTTCAATAAAAGTAGACTGTGGAATCACTGTGAATGATCAGTGGTGTCCCTTAATGCTGGTGGACACTCTAAAATAATGACAATATTCCACCTTTGGAGGTTGATTATGACCCTCTAAGAGGTGGATTGTACTGTAGTCATCCTCTAGAGGTGGACGATTGTAACCATCCAGAGGTGCGCAATGGAAGCCTAAACAAGACAGGCTACGGCAACCCTGTAGAGTTCACCAATAGTGCTGCTCTAGAGGTGGACGCTGATACCCCCTCTATAGCTGCAATGTGGTCTCCCTCTCGAGGTGGGCTTGCCACGATCCCGCTCTCCCTTCCTCACCTCTCGCGGTCGGCCTCCAGGATTGGCGGCGATGATGTTGCGCACCTCTGGCGAGATGGCTCTGACTGGTGACCGCACGGTGGCCCGATAGATGTTCTGTTCGCCGGCGCTGCCATTGAGGCCATCGGCACCTTGCTCGCCATCCTGGTTGTCATAGCGACCGTTGCTGAGGTTGCGTCTGTGCACAGGCCGGCCCCTTGCCTCCATGGTTGAGATGCCTGAACGCACCAAACGTGTGAACGTACACACACAAAGATAAAGATCCCCCATATAGCCTTAAAAAAACCTATTAAGGCCGGCACCGTACACGAGGGGGTGGGTGGCCAGTACTACGCCCGACCGCCTTTGCCTCCCCAGTGGCGATGTTTTTAGACACTGCACTAGGTACTCATTTGAGGCTAAGTCGATCTAGGAGAGGCCCAGGACTGGTTCAGATAATCGTCACTGGTGTTGGCCGTGAGCGAGAATCGAACCCGGGTCACCAGGTTTGTAGCGCAGCGCGCTAAACGCTATACTACCGCAGGCACGGAGAAACACACGTACAAATAACGCCCTGATTAGGTACTCTTACCCACATCACACCAGATCCTCTAAGGTTGACGCTGACACACCAGAGCAGACGCTCATTTTCAGCCGAGTTGACCAAGGCGGTGGGCTGTTATCCAAATATAACCAAGGTTACCGAGATTTGTTGTGCCGTGCACTAACCACCGTCACATCACACCAAGGACACACACACGGGTACGTGCCAATGCAATCGCACAACCGGTCACGTATATAGCATCGGCACAAGTGAACCTAATAGCACAAGTGTCAAACGCGACCTTGCTCTGATCTATATTCTCTGCCCCCCGGCAAGGGGTGCAGTAAAGTTTTTTTTTTAAATGGGCACCATGCACGAACATGCTAGAGCGTGTCACACGCAAAGTGTGCGTGTGTCACTTATTTAAGACTCACGTACACGTACATCTAAGGCACATGAACGTGCATTTCGACGCTTCGGTTGAGCCGTTCAATTTCTACAGCCAAAAGAGACACGCCTTCCCTATACTCGCTGCGGATGAGTACGGATGCACTTCAATGTGATGTATCAAAATTTAGCCACCTCATTATTGCTTTCAGGTAAGCGTTGCATGAAATGTGACATTTTGATTGACTGGGAGTTTGTAATTGAAGGTTGATTATTTGCATCACTAACGACCACAGGTCTCGAACAGCAGCTGGCACATCAATGTGCTCCGCGTTAATCAATGTGCCGTGTAACATGCACAATCAGGGTTTAGTGAGAAAGCGGCGTAAAAAACTTCCACTTAACATCCCGCCCGCTGAGCGCTATTGGCCAATTAAAATGCACGTTCCTAGGTGGTCTCGATATGCGCACGCAGCAGTGTTAGAAGCGGGAGGGCAGAGAAGGCTTTAATGCCACTCTCTTAATTGCACCACTTCCCCCACTGCGCGCATGAGATGAGGTGCGCGTGTGAGCTGGGTGTCAATGCCACCCTCGCCGTGCCCCCCCCCCGCTCCCCAATTCTACGATCAGAGAAGCATCTCGCAGTTGTGGGGGGTTGGGGTGGGGGTGCGATTGACCCCCCCGCCCCACCCACCCACACCAAACATGGCTCGGTATCCTGTGAATTTTGGGAGGCTCGTAAAGAGGAGCCCGTTATTAGCATCGCTCGCGTCTCCCGCTGTTAAACGGCACTGCTGCCCGCGTGTCCGAATCCTCTCCCCGGCGACGTTCGCTTCTTTTTGGCCAAGCACACAGGCAGCGTTTGTCGTGCAGGGAATGCCCGGCAGCAGCCCCCAAGTTGGACTCCCCAGCCCATGTGCGGGACGAAATCTGTTCATTCGCTCGCCTTCTCGCTCACTCCTCAGCCGCTCGCACCTTCTTCACTCGGTGATTCATTCACTCGGTCAAGGACTTTACACACCCAATTAGTCGTTCAAATGTAGACTCACTCCTCGACTAATTAACCCCCTGGGAGAGTTTATCAAGTACCCGCAAATTGACTTCCCAGTACTCGGTAACTGACTTACTTAATGACTTAATTATGTCCTTCCCTATAAACACGTGGCAGTTTACTGGCCTTGGTTCAAGTGAGGCTGACAGTGTTTGCTTGTGTTGAAGCAATACTGCTGAATTTATGCACTCACCAAAAGGATGATAAAATGCATTAAAAAAAAGACTTGTATATTTTACTCGGAGGGACTTATACGAGAGGAAAGAGGCATACTGTCCGCTTGTTTATTTTGTTACTTAATCATGGACTTACTCACTGGTTCATTGACTTCATTGTAAACTTTATATCCGTTCACTTCCTCAATTGCACGCTTGAACCATGTACTCGCTCAGTTGCAGAGCTGTGCACTCGCTCGTTCACCCACGCAACCGAGAGCTCACAAAGTCGTGCTTTTACTCACGAACGCACCACGTCATTATTCTTTTTTTTCTTCCTGTGGCACCGGCCCGCTCTCACGCTCTCACACTTTAATCGCAGTGAGTTGTTTTCTTCAATTGGCTCGATTCGTTGTTCGCCAGTGCCTGCCAGCCTGTAAATGTGGCCGGATGGCCAAATGTTGTATATCCAATTGAAATAAACGATTTAGTTAACTCCCTTAGCATACTCTTTGGTTCTTTCGGTAAAGTCTCGTAGATAGAAAATTAATAGATCACGACGTTTCGATCGCAACACAAGCAATCGTCATCAGGTGAAACAAACCACAGCACGTCGTGATCTATTAATTTTCTACCTACGTGACTTTACCGAAAGAACCAAAGAGTACGGATTCCTGCAGTCACGAAATCTTCAAATCCTTTAGCATACTTGTAACAAGCAAAGGCATGAAACGTTAGTCGTCTTCTTCTACGAACACTGTTTTCTCCTAAAATACATTGTTAATGATGCAGGGTGGTGAGTTATTGTTTTAATCATGATTATATTATGTGCCTTTGCCTCCCACTAGCTGGCTGACTAACTCTTCATGCTGGTTTTGGAGATATATTTTGCATCCTCCACCGCACTTACTAGGGTAATCACCGTCTTGTGTGTGCACACGCTCATTAACTCCCATTGAACCCTCCAAGGCTCCAACACACGACACCGACACTTGATCGCGAACAGTTTCATCCAATTAGCATGCACGTCCACCCCCATTCATAATCTACGATGCCTTCAGTAGCTTTTTTGGCAATATTTCCCCGTAAAAAAATATAATAATTATTCCCAGTGATCCAATGCTGGTGTCAGCCACAGCGGAAAATATTACAGGCAGTCCTTACACCCCCCCCCCCACCACTGCTTGGCATAAACACTACGGCACAATAGGCCCTTTCTGCCCCACTGAAAACAAAACCGTCTGCCCTTATTGCGAGTTGCAGCGGACAACACAGCGACACATGCTAAATGGGCTGAGTAGCTGCTCAGAGTGTGGCTTATCTGCTAAATATCACATGAGCTGAGCTGATCTACCCTGGACACCCTTCCAATTGAGATGTTCCATCTCAAGGGATTATCCAGGTAACACACTTAAAAAAATGTATACTTTCCATGACATTAAACCTTTGCATTACGGCTGTCGGTACGAGTCACAGATAAGGCGCGTGACACCACCCCAGCGTCCAAGCTGGCAAGCGAGACTCACGGTCCCAGAGCAAAAGGATACGCTCCTGGTTGTTAAGGAGGCTTGCTGAACCATTGGGGGGGTGGAGTTGATCTACTACCATTAGCGGTGGAGTCATCCGAGGGTATGCCCTCTTTGATGGACGCTGACGGGGATTGTTTAAGGGGCCGTGACCTATGGACCGTGGGCCCATGCTAGCCCCAGGAGTCAGGGCTTCAGCGGAGCCGAGTGGGTTCAGCAGGCATCAAAGCAGTGAGGGCTGACAGGTGCGTCAGACAAAGTTGGTTGTGTTGCAAAGACCAGATTGTCTACCCATTGTGTTCCTGCCTATGACCACATGGCCAAGAATGTGACTGATCTTGTCAGATCTGGGAAGCTAAGCAGGTATGGCCCTGGATAGTGATTGCAAGGGTGACCACCATGGCCAAGACTTTGTAATAGGCTCAAGGGGGACACGTGGTGGGCAGCAGAGGGAAGTGAGCAACGTCCATTGTTGCCCTGTACTTCTATGTTCCCATGCTACCTGCAGGGTAAGTGGAGGCCCGCACCCAGCATTGGATTGGCAACGGACTGTACCAGTACACATGGACATGACAGACAGACGCACGAGTAATGTACGTCGACAGCTTCAATGTTTGTGGTAACTTTATACCTCTGAGCACAGGTCAGTGCGATTAGCAGGGGTCAGTGGCGTTCAGGTGTGGCGTGAGTGGGCAGTGGATGACGGGAGGGGTGGTGGAGTCACACGCTAGGTTCAACCGCTCAGCGGGCCCAAGGTCGCGAGGCTAGGCCCGGTACAGTCTCTTTCGCGTGGATGTCGCGATGACTTCACCGAGGAATTTCCGTTGGTTACTAAACAACAAGCGAAACAATTGACGGCTTGACCCCCGGGCCTCCTCAATGGAGCCAGTGTTCATCGTAGCTGTGCGCTGTCAACTGTGCCTGCACTGTGGAGAGATCTCGCGTGCGAGTTGTGCAGAAGGAAGTTTCCTTGTGGCGCGTCAGGATGGCTCTGAAGGTTGTTTCACAAGAAGGTTTTCGACATCACATACCAAGGGTGTCTAGTACACGGCTATCATCACGAGGCTCAAATCCCAATTTGCATGTGACTCAGCACCATCACCATCATCCCTGAGGTCACTAAAATGAGTACCCACTTGGGAGGACGGATATCTTGGTGAGAAGTCAACAGTAGTTGTCTTCAGGCGGGACAAGTCCTCTCTACAGTAACATGGTTTCCTATCACACGTTGGACTGCCCATGGAGATGAGTGGCTGTCATTACTCATCATGGCACGAGGACTTCTAGAAAAGTTGATGCTGTGGAAGTAGGAACAATCTTCATGGACACCGAAGTTAAAACTAGTGCGCTGCAATCTCAGCATTGGCTAATTTTGAATAACCACGCTCGTGCTCTCTAATACGCAAGGGACAATGATTAGCCCAAGCCAGGCTCATACAAAGCCTTCTGGCCTTGGAACAAGAGAGCCTTGGTCCTGACTGAGGATTCCGCTGGCCTGGAAATGAGTAGATGACCCGGCCTTAACAAGAAGTGCAGAACATTAATAACGTTGCATTTTGAATTGCCACACATTTGGTCAAAACAAATCTTTAGTAAAAGTGTAAGTGCCATTGTGCATCGCACTGAGCTGTAATGTATTGAATAAGAAGTATTGAGACCCATATGTACTGCAGCAGAAAGTCTTTGGCTGAATAAACAAATTAAGTGAAAATGTCCCTTGTTTTTCTAAGTTGTTATAAAGTACAGACATGTTTTTGTGCAAGTGTTTTTACAACTAACCACAGATGTCTACATAGCTTTGTCAACATCATGGCTCTGTGTCCATAAGTCTTATGTAAGTAACATTGTAGCCACGCGCGTGTGTGTAAGTATCGATCGTATTCTGTAGTTACAATGTAGCTGTGTCAGTAAACCTTGGGTATGCAGTAGTAACAGTTGCGCCCGAGTGCTTGAGTAAGTTGTTATAGTAACATTGTACAATTGTATGTCAAAGCCGTTATAAGAGAATTCTTCATCCAGGTGTGAATATTTAGGCTGGTCACCTGGCCCGGCAGCAGTGTGTTCGCCGCTTGTCACAGAAGTTCACGGTTCGACTTTAGCGGCCGCCCTCGACATTACAGCGAGTTCATTAACTTTTAAAATACGCTCCCTCTGCTTCACAGTGGATACTAAAGATTCCGTGGTGACGTTGGCAAGAGTGGGCCATTGGGTCACGGCTTCGTGGCCCAAATGCGCCACGGGTGAAACCTACCCGCAAAATTACTCGATTGGGATTGTGCGTAGCAACCAGCGCCACCCCCCCCAACCCCCAATTATAAACACTTGTAGGACCCTCCTGTAAAAGAGTCAAGATACTCCAGTGAGGCCCTCGTGGGTAAACAAGCGGAATGACGGTGATGATAGTATAGCACTGCATCTCATGTGCCCTGTGCCCTCTTTGTCAAGGTGACCGCCGAATTAATGATTAAACATATTCAAAATATTTCTCCGCTTATGTAAAACAAGTGTTAATCACCTTACTCGTGGATTTTAAATGAATTTCGAAAAATAAAATTTCACTTAATTGTATTTTACTGATTCTGATTTTGATAAAAACAGACCTGAGGGGGTATCCTTCTCTACCCATTAAAAAAAAAGATATTTAACCCTTTATATTGATAAAATAGCGGCACTTTCGCGCAAACTGCTTAAGTAACTTTCCAAACCGATAATTCCACTGCACTGTCTACTTAAAACTCCCAGTACAAATGCCTCTCGCCACAATTGCTAAGCCAAGGAGACATCTAAGACGTGCACCGTACTGCAGTGTTAACAGTCATTATGAACACCGTAACTTCGAACAACTTATACGACAATCGCCGCTGCTGCCGCCGCTGCCGCCACTGCCCGCGACACTCACGAAAGCCGCCCCTCCGTTGCGCTTCGGCGCACCCCGACGCCGACGATCGCGAGCAGCGCCATCGGGGGGGATGGCCACGCGGCCGCGATTACCTCTTGCGGGCGCCCACTCGGACATCGCGGGAGAGTCGCCAAGCCCTCGCGGAGCACCGAGGCTCCCCGGTGAACCGCGCAGAGGGGGGAGGGAGGGTGGCCCCGGCGGCCGCTTCAATCGCTGCTCTCACTCGCCTTGGGGGCCGTACGCTCGCCGTGCGCCGCACCGCGACACCCGGCTTTGTAAACGGATCTGACCCGGAGTCGGAGGGGGCTTGTCTGATAAAAGTGGCCAAATTTAGCGGGGGGGGAATAGAACAGCGGCACCCAGAATAAATCTGTGCCGCGGTGAGCTGTCGACGAGCCGGGAGGGCCCCCCTCTGCGCCGGGCGGCGGTGCTGCTTCTGAGAGCGTTGGGCGCGCGCTCGGCCCACGGATGCTCTTTGCCGCAGCCTTTTAATTATGATCGGAGTCGGCTCCGCTGCAGAGTCGTGCCTTGTGCGTACATGCACACGTAGAACGCCCCCCCCCCCACCACCACCACTGTGAAAAAGTGCTGGGGAGGACACGCGCGCACGTCCGCGCTCGTGCCCACGCACGTCCGCGTGCAGTCATACAAAGGCTTCCACACATACACATGTGCACCCACAAACAAAACAAAAATCCCCAGTTTCGCCTTTTAGGCTGTAGGGGAACAAAAAAAGACGTTAGCGAGCACCTATTAAGGCTGAGGAAGCCCATGAAAGGGGGTGTGTGTTGGCAGCACCCTGCTCAACCACCTTTATCTTCCCAATGCCAATGTTAATGCATGAAACCAGGTTCTCATTTCAGGCTCTGTTGACCCACGGGAGGCACAAACATGTACACACAGGGCTACAAAAACAAACCTACGTCCATACACACACATCCAGCAGCACACGTGCTCACGCAGTTGTTCAAAGTGGTATGTATTCATACCTATACTTAAATGGATTTGAAGTTAACACTTAAGCGTAGGGTCTAAAATCCTGATGTTCTATCCATTGTGTGGTAAAGTACACACACAAACATGTTAGCATTCACACACGTACTGTATGCACACGTACATGTACGTACGCACGTGCACGCCGTTCCCAAATAAGCCTTTCGTTGTCTCTATAAATGGCTGTGTGGTCGGAGCCTCAGCACAGCTGCATGAACCCGCTCCCTCCCACACACTCACTCACGGAGCTTGATGGCCATGCCTCTCAAACACCCAACGTGTGTGGTCCGTCCTGACACCTGTCACTCATTGTTCTCTTGCCCCTACTTATTGCCCTCTGTGCAGATGTGTGTGTGCGCACGCGCGCGGGAGAAGATCACGTGGTGGTGGTGGTGGTGTAGTGATCCGATTCTTAGGAGTGGTATCAGAACCTGCTCTAAGCCTCCACGTGGATGATTCAGCCTTAAATGAGTACCTGGTGTGTAACAGCAACTGGGAGGTAAAGGCGGTCGGTCACGGACCAGGGCCACACAATCCCCCGAGGTGTTTCTTTGCGGGACCTAACTTGTGCTCACTAAAAAGCACAAGCCACGGACAGGCATCGTGGCTACTTTGTGAATGTTTGATGTTGGTTTTTGTTGGAGGGGAGTAGGGTTGTGTTCGTGTCATTTCGTGATCCTCAATCTGCAATGTTGGTCATAACATGTTTAGCTCAACACAGCAGCGTGTAGATGTGTTGCCCTTTGCGTGGCTGGGTGGGCGCAGTGGTAACACTTGTGCATCACAACAAGACATTCCTGGGTTTCGATTCTTGACTCGGGCACCGTTCTGTTTTCGTCCCCTGATCTAAATGGGTTTCCTCCAGGGTCTCCGGGTTTCCTTCAATAGCTAAGAAATACTTTACCTAACTGGTAATTGGTCAAATGTCCCCCACTAAAAAACAAAAGACAAAAGACTTGGCAGGACCCTCCTGAAAAGGAGTCTTGAGATTCAGCGAGGATTGCCTGGGTTAAGAAGTGTACAGAAAATAGTTGAAAAAGCCAATTCCGGAGACATTAAGAAAATAATAAATGAAATAATAATCACCATCATAATTTATTTAAAGACATTGAATAACCACTTGTGTTGTGTGCAGTGCATTGGCTACAGATGCCTGCTCTGTGGTGGTAGAACCTGGAATGCAAGACTGTCACTAAGTCGGCAGAGAGAATACACTTTGTAGAAGCATTGTTATGTTTTTAAACTCACAGAGGCAAACCAAAGTGCCTTCATTAAGACTGCCACTTACCGTGTATAGTAGGCAATGTTCCCCGTTGTTTGTAAATATTTTGATGCTCCCATGCGGTTATGAAACTAAGCCTCTATGCGACTGCCCCTAAACCGCAGCCAGCTTCAACTGACCAAATAGGCCAACAAAAATAACGGGGACACAACCACAGTCTCTACTCAAACCCACCTCTGTCTCTATAGACATCAAGAGGCACAAAAAAACGTAAGAATTAGCCGACACATTCTCTAATCAGAGCTTTTGAGCAGCAGCAGCCTGTTTTAACAACCCACAAAACCTGACGCCTCCTTTACAATTCACACGCCCTTTGAGGGCCAGCCTGGTCAATATAAGAATTGTAAGCAGAGGCATTGACTCTCACTACTAAACATCTACCCGTGCGAAGTTGAGATTAGTTTCGCATTTATTATGGCAGCAAGTTTACTCAAGACTAATTCCACCTATAAAGTGGCTTGTCTTTATTGAATTGGCTCTTATGTAACACCGTCTTGCTGTGTGCCGTGCATATGCTTCTGTGTGTGTGCGCCAGTCGGTGTGAGCAGTATTGTTTTCCATTTGCACAAAGCCTCATGGCTTTCTCTTCCTGATTCTGCAGAAATGACACATTGTTGATGCTTCCCTCAAACTGTCCTTTCGCGAAAGCCCAACTTTAGCATGCTGACAAACACCGACAAGTCAAAACAAGAGTGTCCATGGTAGCCTTTCTGAGCCAAACACACATGGACGTCTGCATACGCGAGCACGTTTCTATGCGTGTGTATATGCATGTTTGTTTTGAGTCGTAAGTGTTGAGTGTAAATATACGTGCGTGTATGCCTGCCTGCGAGCCCTGTGCTTTGTTACGTGAACTCTTCGGTGTGCGACCTGCGTGTGCGAGGGTAGCAGCACGCACGCATGTACACGGTTACGTCGGGTGTGCACCAGACCGACCTTGCTGCGTGATCCCCGTCTGTTCCCAGTGAGGACCCCCTTGCTGAGCCCAGCTCCGCTCCGTCAGTCCGGCACCGCGCCCCGGAAAAGTGGCCGACCCAACGCTGCCCGTCTCTCCGGGCTTCGCTCGCCCTCCCGCCTCCCTTGCCGGTGGCTCGGAGAATCCCGGCATGCCCACTCCCACGCTCGAGCCCGCGCTGCCGGTTACGGACGCCGGTGACTTATAGCTGCCACCTGTCGAGGAGGCATTTCTGGCATTCCCAAAGTCCCGGCCACCATTCCCAAAATCCGGCTCGTCCTCCGAACCCGGGGCAGGCCACTGCAGCCGCACGTGCTCCGGGTGGCACCCCGCTTCGCTCGCCCGTGAACCGAGCGGGGTAGGAGTCTGACGCCGCAGCGTGGACAAGGGGGTGCACGTGGGCACGGGCGTGAAGGTGGGGTCCAGGTCCAGGATCAGCTGATTGAGCGTCTCGAGCGACAGCTCCAAGTCCTGCTGGGACGGGGACAGCGGGGGCCCGTCGGCGCCGCTGCTCGGGCTCTCCCGTTGGCCGTGGTCATTCTGCCGTCCCTCCATTCTGAGGGCGGACAGCGGCGGCGCGGGGGAGTCGCCCCCGCGAAGCGTAGCGGCGAGCTGTCCCCCGCCGCCGTGCGAGCTCCAGGAGCCCACGCCGCGCTGCACGGCGTGGCGGCTGCTGGAGCCGCGGGCCGGTGTGTGCGGCACCGCCGGCGCGCCCGAGTCCCCGCTGGGCTCGGAGTAGATGATGTTCTGCTGCGCGGGCGCCGAACACGCGGCGGTGGCGACGAGCGGAGTCCGCGAGCGGTACGTCAGCCCGTACTCGTCCACGCCCGCCGAGCCGCCGGGCCCGGCGTTGGCGTTGGCGCCGACGTTGGCGTACATGCTCTGCTGCTGCACCCAGCTGTGCGTGGGGCACGGCGTGTCTTGCTGCGGCTCTTCCACCGTGTTGTAGCCGGTGCTGTCCGACAGCAGCGAGCACTGGCTCACTTTGTGCGGCTCCGGCAGGAAGCCGTAGCGCCCGGCCGCGGGCCCACCGTCGCCACCCAGCCCTTCCCCGCCGGGCCCGGCCCCCGGAGGGCTCAGCGTGCCGCCCTCCAGCGAGGAGAGCGTGCCCAGGCTGTCCACGCTGCGCAGGTCGTGCGGGGGGAGCAGCTCGTCGTCCAGAATGTCCGTCTCTCGATCATTCAAGCCGCCGCCGCCGCTGCCGGCACCGGCTCGGCGCTCGGTGTGCACCTGGACCAGAACCTGGGCGAGAGGGAGATGGGCAGTCGGTCAACAACACACGGAAGCCCAATGAGCCGATCAAGAATAATAATGATGATAACAATGCAACGGAGAACTACCGTCTAGGCCTTGAAATCAACCTCAATGTATCGCGAATTAATGATAATGGAAATACAATCGAATGAAAATAATGTGAAGGATAATAATTATAGTCAAACTTCAGTGTTTCTTTATATGTCAATGAACATGGAGAGATGATGACAAATACAATGTCTAATAAGGTTTTTTTTTACAATGTTTTGTTGAATTTGATCGTAAAATGATGCTTAATACACAGTTTTGGTTTATGTTTTTCACTTTTTCCCCCAGGTTTATTACGATCGTGCGATTGGCATGAGGCATACTTTGAATTTACACTAGTTTATGTATCTATGAATTTGTAACAATACGAGAACAACAAATCGATGACACCACACCAAATGCTCATACCTCACTTAGCGCTCTGCATTTTCAGCGATTAGTCACTTAGGCTCCAAACGCTCGCCGTTATTAAACTGGAACATCAGCATACATTTATAAAAAATCAGATGTTGCGCTGTACCTGAGGCTAAAAACACGAGTCAGTCAGCCTTTAGTCACTGCTGCACCACGGTATAATAAAAACAAATAATCCAACAAATAAATCATCGTCAAACCTCCAGAAATGACTCAGGGTTGCCAGCTGAGATGAGCACCCCCGCCTTGCTCAATCAAGCAGGAGCACCCACTGGCTTGAACAAAGACCGTGGTCACCGCATTACGTGCTTTCACATGCGCTTCTGCGGCTGTCTGGAACGTTCTTCCTTCCGATATTAGAAAGCCACTGGAGCGATGGCACTTTTAAATCATCTACATTGCAAAGTCATCTCTTGAGAAGTGCATTTTGTGTTTAGTTTGTTCTCCTTGCCCCCCCCCCGCACCTCCGATTAGCACGGTTGGCTACTTACGTCGCGTAAGAAGTTCAACATACATACGCGTTGGTCATAATAAGCGATGAGGCTGGTTGTAATTACCGGCGAAACGCTGTACTCGGATCGTAAATGTTGTGGATTTACTCTCCAACACAAGTTTGCTGAACGAGGAAGAAAAAATTGGCATATTTTGTTTACGTGACAAACCTTACTAATTGGCTGTGTCGGGTGATGGTGGGTTTAACGACACATTTATATTTACGCGATCTGACCCAAAAAAAAACCTCTATTATGGATAATATTGGTCGCGAAAGCCTACGTGTTAAACCGACATGTTGGTCAGGTGACTGGCTGCACAGCCCTATCAAATCCACCCAGACGACTCACCTTGTGGTGCCGGGCTTCTCCTCCCACGGGAATGCTCACGGCGACCCCGCCTGCGTGACCCCCGTTCTGCTGCAGGCCGCGCATGGCGTGCAGCTGCGTCCCGGCTGTCCTGGGGCCGCCCCGGTGAGGCTCGCCCGGGTCGCACGGGTCGCCCCCGTCCAGGCTGAAGCCCCTCAGCAGCTCGTCCAGGTCCCGCTGCTCGCTCGCCGACGGGCCCGACGGCACGGACGGCGCGGGTGGCCCAGGCTCGCCACTCCTGCCCGCGGCCGTGAACTCGGAGGGCGACGTTGACTGTGGCTGTTGCTGCTGCTGATGATGCTGCTGCTGCTGTTGTTGTTGTTGTTGCTGCCGCTGCTGCTGCTGTTGTTGTTGTAGGAGTTGGTGCTGTTGTGGCTGTGCTTGTGGCGGCTGCGAGTAGGGTTCGTTAGCTGTGCGCACAGAGGCGGTGGAGTGGCCAGAGTCGCTGCTTACGGAGAGAGTGGGATGAGTTGTGGCTGTAGGGGCTGAGTGAGTGAAGAGGGAGAGCTCTGGGGATGCCTCACCCCCAGGGAATCTCTCTCCCTGTTTGCATGATGAATCTGCTTGGGAGGAGGAGGGACAGAAATGGGAGGGTAGCGGAGAATGGAGAAGACAAACAACATGAGTAATTATAGTTCGCATCAATTATAACATTCTTACATTTCTCACGGAACTTGCACAAACACGTATACATTATTTTCATTTACTGCACTGTCCATACTGGTGTGACCTATCCAACCAACTTTTACATATATAGAAATCTCTCTTGCAGTGACATCAGGCAGACCATTGTAATCTTGTGATAGGCCAATAACTACTTGAGTAAGCATTATCGTTCCGTGAATTGCGAACTATGACTTACGCGAGTGAAGTGTACGTGGTTGAATTTTCTGCTCATAACACATCACCTTTGTTTGTAAAATGTGCAATACAAAAAATCATCGTAATGCGTATGCAGCGATTTGTTTCATACGAGTCCCACGAAAAGGAATATAAACAAAGCAAGCAAATAGATAAATTGCCGGCTCACACACGTCTCGTCGCACAAGCCACTCACTCATCTTTTAGTCATCGATTTAGCCGCGTCCGTTAGTGACCGAATACATGAAACACAATGACTTCGGGCGTCAGAATACTTGTGAGCTGAGCACTGTATTTTGTTCAGCACAAAGGTAACTTGGCGCAGTCTCACGGTTGGACGACTGTTCAGCTAAAATGCAGTAAGGATCAGCTTTCAGTGTACGGTTTCACCACAAGCAAATTATTTCATTTTTTCCTGTTACACTGTATTTGGCTAAGAACGGTTCTTGCCGAAACGTTAATCAACACTTTCCTTCGGCATCAACAATCCCCACCTGCATCATCTTAAATCAACAATTTTCACCATCGCCATAATCAAAGTTATCTTGCTCTATTAATATCATCGTCGAAATTGTCTTCACAACAACACACCGTTGACATCAGCGTAAATATTCCAACCTCAACATTCTTAAATATCATCACGTCCTCATTACCATCATCATCATGACGATCATCTCCATCCTTAATGCCCACAGCACCTACATACTCTCGTTTCTCCATCGGCAGCGCGATGAATATCAACCGTAACATAAGAGCCAAACTTACCGAGGGCAAACAATTCGCTGCCACTTTCACCAACCGCGGAGCAGAACGGCTTCACCTGGTTACCCACCAAATAAAAGCCACCGCGGGAGCTTTTCGCGAGTCCTCGTGACCTTTGTGTGTCGGCGAAGAGACTCGTGTGTGAGTGAGCGTGCCGCGCTTTGCGTGCGGTGTAATCATAATGACTGTCCTCTGGTGGGATTCCTGGCTCCTTAATTCCTAAACAAGTGACGGGGCTCGTCTGGGGAATTGGGGCCAGGAAGTGCGTGGGTTCAGCCGCCCCGAGGCACCCCGTGCACTTCCAAAGTGAATGTGTAAATATATAAATAATACGAGTCGAGCCACCACACCCGGCCCCCACCCCATGTGCATGTAGGAACGCACCACACCCCACCCTACCCCCTCGTGCACTTCAACCTGCCTCTCTTCCCACTCCCCATAGCAAGGCCCCCCCCCCACACACACACAGTCTAACCCCCGACACGCACACACACATCCCAGGACGAGTGCACACACGCACGTGTGCACACAGACGCAGCAAGCCTGCACAAGCTGCGCATTCACAACCCCGAGGTGCAGTGTTGTGCATACACACAAAGATCTCACATACAGACTGAACAAGACTGCTCTCACTGCACCGGGTGATCATTTAAAGGCTGAGTCGACCTAGGGGTCAGTTCAGATAATTGTAAGCTGGCGTTTGACCGTGAATGGGAATCGAACTCGGGTGGCCGGGTTTGTCGCGCAACGCGCTAACAGCTAAACTCACACAAAGCTTGCAACACGAGCCCCATGCACCGTTTGTATATAACGAAATCAGATGTAATTTTGCATTTTTAACGAGCAAAAAAATAGAGCAATTTGCAAAAACCCGGCCAATTGAAGCCTATTAACAGTCACTTTGTTTTGAACCACAATACCAGCACTGTACGTTATAGCCAAGGAACACAGCTCCCGTTACGAAAGCAGAAAAATGTTACTCGTCAACAGAGCGGGAGGGGGGTCATTGAGCCTCACTCCACCGTGGCTCGGAGCCGGATCTGGGCAGGAAGCTGATTTAAAGACCCTTCACCCCCATCAAACCCCCACGACGCCGAGGAGGGTGGCAATTCCCCAGTTAAGGAGCGTTCACGTAAACATCGCCGCCGGTTGTAATGACTGCTGCCTCAGGAATGCTCTGTAGGAACGGCACACAGTGTCTTGGATGTCTATCTTCCCGACTGTCTGGTTCTCAGTAATGCAGTGCCGTAGACTGACATGCCGTGTCAAAAGCATGGCTATCAATTGTGTGCATCTTTGCCTTGATTTAACCGATGCCGTAAAACAAAAAAACCCAATGCGTATTACAACGGTGTCGCATGTGTAGGCACTCGATACAAACAAGGTGGCTCAACAAAAGGTACCGTGCAGTAATAATTGAAATATAAAAAAGACACCTTTGCTGTCACTTCCCTGGGTGATCGTGGATCAGCGTACACAACTTCAACAGGTAACTGGAGAAAGCTCAGTCAGATACAGCGTTTTCGGGATGGATAATTTTAAGGGAGTTATTTTTTTAGACAAGCTAAGAGCAATAATGGAAGGAAGCAAAGAAACGGCACGACACACACACAGACAAGTGCCGGCGATTAGGTCTGGCAGGAGGAACGCGATCGCTGCTCATTGCAGAGGTTCACGATTTAAATCCAGCTGCCGCCCTGCGTATTACTGTGGGTGCGTTAACCATTAAAATACGAGCCCTCTATTTCACAGTCGATGTTAAAGTAGGCCCGCTGTGTGTCAGCTTAATGGTCCAAAAGTTAGACAATGTTAAAATTACCAGCAAATTACTCCATCGAAATATACATAGCAATCATAGCCCTGTGAATGTAAACACTTTGGCAGGACCCTCTTTAAAAATAGCAATGCGACTCAGTACGACTATCCTGGCTAAACAAGCACAATACTATCATAAACCGAGACGAGGAAACATAGCTCTGCTGCCAGTGTGGGGAGTGAAAAGGGACAGCGAAGAGATGGGAGTCACCTGAGCTGAGAAATCCTGCAGACGCGGTCCACCACCAGCAATCAGCCCGTACCGCATGCACATGTGCAGGTGTTGTGCTCAACCCCCGTGGAAAAATGTGGCATTTGTAGCGGGCAGTTACAAACCACCCACACGCTACGTTGCCTCCCCTCCTGTCAACACGTGCTCCTCCCTCCCGGAATCCCTAACTGATCCTTCCCTTGCAGTGCTCTTTATATCAGGTCATTCACACCCTCACCCTTAATTTAACCCTTAATCTAGTCGGGGCAAGTCACTCGCACACTCACCGACATGTACACACATGTACACACACACACACCGAAAATGTGTTTGGGTCATAATAGCAATGACAAACTCCTGTTTCGACCTTTAAGATATCTTCCAGTCTGGTACAACTACACTTTGATCAAAGGGAAGCGTCTTGACACCTGCAGTGCGAGTTCTTTGCCTCGGTGAGGACAAAGAATTCTGACGTGTTACGAGAAAACAACTGAAACTGGTGTCAAATGTACATAGACACACACAAAGATACACATTTTGGAGTATAACATGCTTGGGGTACAGGGATTTATTCAACATTTTAAACACGGAAAAAGGGTGAAAATTCCATCACGTATGCTCTGTAAGAGCTCTGTAAGAGCATACGTGATGAAATGTGTTGATAACGCTTGAACGACCCCTTTAGTGAACGCTAATATTAAAGTTGGGACGACACATTTGGAGATTGTGGTGCCAACGGCCATGCATTTCCACCTTGTCTCTCTCCCATACTATGCTAGTGACGACAACGCACACAGCTAGTAATGTTAGACTGAGAGTTTGTCGAGGGGAAGCTCAGGCCAAGCTTCAGATTCCAATTGCCACTCACGCTGGTGCATGGTGAGGAATTCAAATGCGGCTCCACACATGCACTTCTGCAGTGCCCTTAACCGTCGCACCATCGCTCCCCACACAAACACATGTCCACACACAGAATCGCAAACATGTGTGCACAAAGCACACATACAAGCCACGTACACAGTCACAGTATATATTTTTTATAAATCTATCCCTGCTTGCTGTCATGGTAAGCCTTTTGGCCTCAAGATAGACTTTGAATAACCGAGTTGGTATTCTGTACCACAGCAGCAACTGCTGCTCAATAAGCCATTTTCCCTTTAATTAACGCGTGTGGTCAGCTTTACCTTTCCTGCTCACCTGTGGAATTCCTTTTATACTTTTACTGCAAGTGTCTTGAAAGCCTAGTTATTACCGGGTAATATGACCAGTTTCCAAATAACACGCTGTTAACAATCGTTCATCTGTTGTAAAAAAAAAAACTACATTGTTTGGAAAGGCCCATGCAAGGCGAGTTGGATAAAGGGGGAAAGTCCAGCTGTCAATAAGCTCTGTAAAGATGACTTAATGCTAAACACAGTTGTAGCCATACCTTTACTGAGCTGGGAAGGCCATTCGAAAAAAAGTAGGCGTGTCACTCAAAGGGGGGGGGGGGGTGCTTTTTTCTTACAGGTCAAAAAAAACCCAAACCCCGTGTGAAGATGTACCGAACTGTATCTTGGCGTTCGTGAATGCGCTTGCCGCTTGTGATGTTTCGGCGCACTCAACGTCTGCACTTAATTACTGGGCATTAACAGTTCATTACACGCTATTGTTATCCGTTAACAAACACATCTTCACGGGCACTAAAAATAAACCATTAGGGGGGCTTTATGCGAGCATGTGTACATGACCTCCAATGCCCCTTGGAGGTATGCGTGCAATAAAAGGCACCAACAAACCCAGCCCTTGGGGAACCGTCGCACATTCCACTCGCACAACCAGGAGGGCATGGCTCTACTGGCTGTGGACTACCCACCCCACACAGAGTCTCTACTGGTAGCCTCCGTAACTCGTCACAATGTACGTGCCGTATTC